AAGAATTAATTAGAATGACAAGTCAAATATCACACCAAAACTGCGCAGGCTGGTCTGGATCAATGCTGATTGCAATCGCTTTATGTTGGTTTAGTCATGGCGCGGCTCAAATGTCATTGTTACGTGGTTTTTCATACATGTACATTTTCTGATACTAATATATTTTTAATTATCACTTTGTACAAAGAAAACATTTCTCGAAGTTCAATGAGAGAATTATTTCATTTTAAGAACAGCAATACTTCTATATCAATTCTATATGTTTATAGGTTTTATTCAATTAATGAACGGTGCAAATAATTATCAATTGTCCACTACAGGTAAATTAACTGTGTATTTTCCTTCAACTTAAGTGTGTGGGTCGTTTTTATTGCATTATAGATTTTTAAGCATAAACTTTTTTATATTTGTTCGGCGCATTACAAATGGACACATATGCATACATATATTGGGAATAACAACGAAAATGAACTTATATAGTTCCTCTCCTGCATTGCAAATATATTTACACATACATACACTGTATATGCCAGAAAAGTTTTTCCATGCAACTTACAAAGAAAACAAATATTGCAACGTTACGTTTAAACAAAAACAATTTAGAAATAAGTATGAAATGCAGTGAAAAAGAAAAGTTTCAGTGAAATATCAGGAAACAGAAGACAATAAATAAGACATTAATTTGAATGCGACTTACTGGTATTTAAAAGAAAATTTATAATAAAATAATCTTTATGTAAAAAAACGTCCACTGCTATTAATAAACTTTATATACAGCATCTAATAACGGTATGTTGAGTATGGATCATGCCGGTGCTACGGGGCGCGAGGATGCTGCACTTTTCATTATCCCTCAAACCAAATCTGCAATTTTCATGTAATTTGCTGTTTTTAAGGCTTCCGAGGGATCACTTTTTCCAGATATTTAGATGGTCTTGTGTCTCAATTTAGAGAAGAGAATCCGAAGATCGATGGAGCACATTTGGGTCAATGCATGAAATGTGTATTTCTTATAACAAAAAAAAGGTGAATGATAGAGAAGTTTTTGTAAGAAATGTATAAATATTGAGAATTATGTAACTAATATTTAGTGTTCTGGTCTTGTAAAAGAGACGAAATGTAGGCTGGCGTATGACAACTTTTCATTGATATATGTCAGAAAGAAGCCCAAGAATTGATCCTTAGGAAACTCCAGATGTAATTGTAACACATGATGTTTCACTAGCAAATCATGATGCCAAACTCTATCAAATGCGATGGTTATGTCTAAAATACATCCATCAAAAGCCATGCAAAAATGTAGTAAAGGTACCAAATCTGAATCCCCTCGCAAAAATCTCGACTTGACGAAGTAAAGAAGGAGTTGTCCCAATAAAAGTTAATGAAAGTGCTTTAAAATCTACTTATTCAAATACGTTTTCAGTAAGTGCAGAGTTAAGAAAAGAAATAGGTTTATAGATATTAACAACAACAGGATCTCTAATTTACTAGTTTACTAGTTTACTTGAGAAATTTTTGGCTCTAAAACTACAATTTAAAATGGCATTTCCGCCTGTGTGATAAAAAAACTTGTTTTCTATAGTCATTGTTTAAAAGTTACATGAGTGCAAAATAGGTCCCAATTCCAGAATATAAGGAACGTTTCGATTCAGCATTGAATCAAATCATTATTACACTAGAAGTAACAACGTGACCAAACCTCGTTGTTATAAAACTATCTTATGAGTTCTTTCTTGGCGCTCATGATTTTTATTGGTCAAGAAACATTCTATGCTGGTTACTGACAAATAAAATACCTATGATCTGTGTTTAAGCTAGGAAAGGATCGTCATTACCTTAAACCCTGTAGTACTTCCTAAAATATAAATAAAAATGTCATTTAAAACGCATATCAATTGAAATAATCTGAAAATTTAATAGTTATTTTTTTAAAATATTATGGGTTCTAAAAGAACCCCTCTCTACACTTAATGATGATATTCAATGTAAAGGTATTGACCGTGAAAAATGAAGCAAATGTTATGTTTATCGCTATATATAATCACGAAGTTTACAAAGTGTATCATATATACCCTGATTAAATCACTTTTTTATTGTGTAACATTATGAATCTTTTCATGACATTTAATACATTGGCAGTCGTTAATGCTTTAAATGTAGTTAAATTTAAGAAAAGATGACATGTGGAAAAAAATCAAATTCAGAAAACATGAGTAAAGTTGGAATACGGTAAAAGAATGTGATGTATTCGAGTTAAAATTGATTGTTTTTACGGTAAGGAATTACTACTTGTTAAAATGTTTATAAATCTTTAAAATAAATATGCTTAACTAGTCCTTTAAGTATGAGACTCGTTACCATTTAACGTCTTAGTGAATGTTCGTAAATGAAACTCAATGTTGTAAATGACATATACTTTGGAGTGGATGAATAAAAAATAAAAGACTATGTTACAGATGAAAAGAATGTCTTGGTTTAAAAAAAAAATGAAAGAAGTTTTCAACGAGATTTTATTTTCAAAAACAATATGTAACGTTATCTTGAATGAGAAAAATAATAAGTTTTTTTCAATACCTACCTTATAAAGTACATTAAATATAGTGGCCGACAGCGTCCAATTTAAAATCGCGAGAAATTTTACTGTCAGTTTGTAAAATTTCGCGAGCAACTTTTAAATCCGCCAGATTTTATATTGAAATTGTATAAAATGTCGCGGCTTATAGAAACTCTCGAGTTTTTCGGTCACTTTTCTGTCGTAAAATGTCCAGTTTTACAAAGGAAACCGCGACATTTTCTACTAAACCACCAAATATATGTCTACTTAGATAGCTGATTGCAGCCATTATAATCCGCGATATTTTGTTTTGATGCATACTTTTTAAAACGTCGAATTTGAGCATTAAGCTTCGACTTTTCATGCCAGGAATAGAAACGATGGCAAAATCATAGGCCGTGACTTTTTGTTCCTCAACAACCAATTTTCAAAAAAGTAGCAGGTAAAAGAATCGTTGATTTCTTAGAAAACGTCGCGGATAAAAAGTCGTTGATTTTTTACGCGACCTTTTGTGAAAATTCGGAACAAAAAGTGGAGGTCTATGATTTCTGCCCTCAACTTTTTGAATAATAGACAAATGAGGCATAAAATGTAGAGTCAAACCATAAACGCTACCGGCCACTGAAGCCAAAATGTAAGTTGCCCGTGACATTTTATGATAAAACTATGGTGGCATAAAGACATGTGTGTGATTTTATTTAACTCGTCCGCACGAGATACTATGTCTTGGTCACGAGTTAGTTAGTCGTGGTCACAAGTTACTTAGTCGTGGCCACGAGATATTTAAGTCGTGTCTACGAGATACTATGTCGTGACCACGAGTTACTTAGTCGTGACCACGAGATACTATGTCGTTGCCGGGAGTTACTAAGTCGTGACCACAAAATAATTAAGTCGTTGGAACAAGATACTATGTCGTGGCCACGAGATACTATGTCTTGGCCAGGAGTAACTAAGTTGTAGCCACGAGATACTATGTCGTGGTCACGAGATACTTTGTCGTGCCCACGAGTTACTAAGTCGTGGCCACAAGATAAATAAGTCGTGGGAACGAGATACTATGTCGTGGCCACAAGATACTATGCCGTGACCAAGAGTTACTAAGTCGTGGGCACGAGATAAATAACCAGTCAGATTACATTATTTATATGAATTTTCCTATTAACTAGACATGTTAAAGTACAATGATGCCCCTTCTTCACTTGCCTATAAAATGTCTTTTATACAAGTTATTGATTGGTTCTTACATTTAGCATCATTGTGACAATGATTTTTGACCCAATGCCCGGATGTCATCTACTGATAAGGTGCAATGATCTTTCTAGATTATATAAACCATGGCTCATTCCTTCTGAACTATTCATCAGATATGAAGTGTCATGGTTGCCTAGACCCATGACTTCAAACATCCTTAAAGGCTATCTACTGTCCATGGGCAATGTCCCTACCAAATAAAATAAACCTGGACTTATTCCCTCTCAAGTTATCGTATTAACCAGGTTAACAGGGCGTACTTACAAATTCTATCACAGAATTGTCCCACAAATGACTTTAACTTAGTATATTCATGGGTCTTGGAATGTGACTTTCTTATATGATCCTAAAGACATGTATCAAGTTTAAAGTGAATATCTTCAGTATTTTGAAAGATTAATATTGCATGTATGTTTAAATGTCAAAAAAAATCATACATATATAGTGTAATCTGATTGGTTAATTATCTCGTGCGCACGACTTAGTTATCTTGTGGCAAATACTTAGAAACTCGTGGCTGCGACTTAGTAACTCGTGACCACGACATAGTATTTCGTTCCCACGATTTAACTATCTCGTGGCCACGACTAAGTTATCGTGGCCACGACAAAGTACACGAGATAAATAAAAACACACTCACACATGTCACCTTTGTGCCACGGTATAAAGCGATACAATTCACGTGAGTTTGAAATGGTCTCAATCGGCCAACATAATTAAAACGGAACTGACATTTAATGATCGTATGTTATCTAACAGTCAAATACTTTTATTGTATATACATCTAGTAACCTTTGCTACTGTCTTTGCAAATGTTCAAAAACAAAATGTTCAAGAGTGGTTAACATTTTTTTAAAATAAACTGTTTTGTGTTTTTCTTGTTTTACAGATGGTTATAAAAAGAAGTAAGTTTAAGGCTTATATACAGTTATGCTGCTTTGGCATTCTTCAGGGATTCTGTTGTTTTGTTTTTTTTTCGATTTATTATATTAAAAAAATATATTATAAAATAAGACTATCCTAAATAAAAAAATATTTCTATTTTACGGTCACTTATAAGGTTTCTATAATATTTTGAAATTATTTTAGAATAGTTTGAAGAACAAAAATTGATACTATTTTGATATCGTCTCAGCCGATTAATTCATAATTTACCATAAAATGGAGATGAAATCAAAAAGGGCCAATGAAATCCCGAAGACGAATGAAGACACATTAAAAAGATACTCAAATAGTTTTCAAGATTTCAAATCACTGGATAAGGGATGGTCTTGGAATATAATGCTGGCAAGTTTTGGGACATTTTGTCTGATTGGTGCGAATATGTATGGTGTGGGAATAATGCATGCTGTCCTGCTGGAAAGATACAACGAAAGTGTCTCGCTAACTGCTTGGGCAGGCTCAATACACATAGCATTCATGTCTCTAGGAGGTATAACTTTTTGAAGGTTCCATGATAACCGCCATATGAACACATCTGCGGATGTTTCAAATCTCAAAATTTTACTGCCCCATGCTAAATGTTTAATTCTTCTTAAGCTGGCGTTTGGGGGCGTGGACGGTGGCTTACAATGTACACTACCGTTCATGAACGGGCTACATCAAACCGAGCGTGCAACATTTTCAATTTTACAGTGTTGGGCTTTCTTAAGGGATTCTGCCTTCTATATTATTTTTGTAATAATTATTTTGGCCAATTTAAGGCATATTTGTTTTCCTTCGTCAGAAAAGGAAAACATGACTTTATATATAAAATGTTTAAGATCATTCTAGATGCTTATCACCTGGAGAAAATAGCACTTAATGTATATTTCCATACAAAGTACTAATTAATCATCATTGTACTTAATGTCAAAAGAGGCAACAGAAGTAATAATTCGTTTAAAATAAGCTACATGGCCAAGCAATAATGGTTTTAAATTAGCTTGACACCAAAAATTAAAAGTTTTGAAAAATTAAAGCGTTTCTTGGAAAAACTGCACCTTAAAAAATTAACTATTCAAGTTAGTAAAAATATACATTCTTGAATGAAAGGAGATATGTTTTGATTAAACTAAAACATACATTCATATGTTGATATAAGAACAAATGCATATTTATTTTAAAAACGCATTCATAGCTCATTAACAAAATAGCTTATATATTACAGCACCGTTGTCCAGCTTTATGGCGGATCGATTCAGCTGCCGGACAGCCGTTATGTTATCCGGAATGCTGTTTACAGCTGGGTATGGGGAACAGCGTTTGCACCAAATATTCAAACTGTTATCTTCACCTTAGGCATTGTTGCTGGTATGACACTCTCTCAAATACTCAACTCACGTAACAAATATTTTACCTTGTTAAATAGTTTAAACGATTTTACTAGACAAACCAACTGATATTTATCATGGCATTTATTATGTTATTTTAGACATTTATTGCTACCTTTTAGATTTATTTTATTTTGATTGATAATTTAATTTACATTTTAGGATTTGGTGCTGGTCTTGGGGTAACTCCTAGTATAGTTGTGATTGGATTCAATTTCAAAGTGAGACGTGACATTGCTTTAGGTGTTGTACTATCTGGAATGGGGTCCGGCCTATTTGCACTTGCACCGCTTATGCAACTTGCAAATGATTACTATGGAGCTACAGGATTTTTCATCATACAAGCTGCAATCTCGCTGAACATTATAGTTTTCGGAGCCTCATATATCCCTAGTAAACTAGAGCTTCATACACAAGACATGCGCACTCACAACAATCGGACTGCTTTGCCACATGGAGGCACAAACCTACGATTCATAGATTTTTACAAGCAATACTTTAAAGCATTGAACAAGAAACCTATTTTTCTTTTAAGTTTTGGCATGTTCTTGAATTGTATCGGTACATTCTTGATTTATTTACATCTTCCTGTCTATATTGTGTCTAAAGGATTTTCAAAAGCTCAGGCATCATACATGATGTCGCTCACGGGCATTTTAACTGTCATTGGTCGTCTTTTAACTGGATTTGTCGCAAATCTTCATAAATCTATAGACATATGGTTGTACTCTGGTTCATTTGCTGTGGTATCAGTGGCTACAATTGTATATCCACACATTTCAAATACACTTGCAGGAAATATAGGCTATGCAGTAGTGCTTGGGCTCTTTTTTGGATGCTGTTACGTTCTAATTACATCAGTTAATATGTCTTTCGTTGGTATAAGACACGATCAGCAGCTATTGGTGTCGAGTTTTTCTTTGGAGGATTTGGGTCCGTGCTCGGACCAGAATTTGCTGGTAAATGTACAAAAAGTTCTATTAAATTTATCTATGATTATGTTCATACAAATTTTCATCAAATGTTTGCTTTTCTAAAAAAAACTTTTGTCTAAACATTTCATTAAATTGTATAGCATAAATATAGATACGAATTTAATGATTTAAGTGTTGACTTGTTGATAAATATTTACAGGCTTTCTGATAGACAGTGGTGGTACATATGAACAGGCGATAACGTTTGCTGGTAAGCAAAAAAGCAAAAATGTGCTCATTTTGTTATTTTTTTAATACAGTTGATCTCTATTTCTTTTCCAGTTTAGATACAAATTTTATGCTTGAGTTTAGGGTTTTATATATTCTTATAAGCAGTGGTATAGAAACAATTTAGTTAGATTATGTGAACATTCTTTCTATACGTATACAATGTCAAACGTGAAAGATTACTCAGCAAAAGTTAGTAAAACATATATTTTTAAACTGCAAAATGTAAACATTTAAGCAATCTCATTAAAATCAGATCATCCTTTAAGGTAGTGGAGTGGCAGGATAGGATTTTAATGAGATTTACATTCAAGCTACGGGTTAATCCAAACCGGAACTGCATTGTGTACTTTTAGTGTCATGCTTATGTTCAAAATTTCAAAAACATTGCTACATAGGATTACAAGACATCTGCTACTAGAAATAACACGTTGCTTATGGCTTTTATTTCTTATTGCTAGAAATTTGATTGAATTTAATAAAAAAGAAACCACAAATCAAGGACATTAAAACTTTGATACTTGTAATTAATCGACTATTAAACGGACATGTAGCTGCCTTGATGTTTTTCAATACAAATCTTAACATGAAGCATATTAAATATTAAGGGTGAACACTTTATTGTTAGGAATCATTGCATTTTAGTGGATATAGAATCAAATCTTTACTTAAATTGTTATAACAAACATGTGGATGTATTTTCTTTTCAGGTGGGTGTTTTTTCCTAGCTGCTTTTTCAAGCATCCTAACAAAGTGTTTTCATGTAGATTCTGAAACAGATGAATACAAAATAACATGGAAATTTTCAAAAAGAAAAGAGAGGAGACAAACATGATCTCGCAGACAAACAGAAACAAATAATCAGAAACAGATTTCTTCTATAATATGCTGCGAGTGTTCTTAAGCATTCGAATATTATCAATAAATAAATTTTGTTGACACCTTGCTACGGTAAACAATACAAATACGATTAACTAAACTCGTGGCAATGAGACAATCTCACGATTTGATTGGTCAGTTAATTCATGTGTTTTAATCATTCCTTTTCTGTCGCTGTTACTTTCCTCAATAGTATCCAGTGGCTGTGAGTAAGCAAAACTGATATTGTCTTAGGTAGTATCTCGTGGCTTAGAATGAGATTTTCCCAGTATTGACTTAAAGATGATATAAGCGTGATTTGATAGACAATAGCTTATAGAGAGACCAATATTCCTTCATTAGTCCGATACAAGTCCAATATGTGACATGTCCAATATGTGAAAGCTAGCTGGGTAAAACCTGAAAGGTTTACATTTAAATGTCTCTTGATACTGGCAGGAACAGCATTCATGCCGAGTGTGGTAATTTTGTATATTTGGTGCTTTTTTTCTACAGCTGTTTATAATGTTTCAAGAATATTGCATGAAATTTTATTAACAATTGTTTAAGTGCTACTACAGCATGTGTTAGAGCTCTATTAAATAAACCTTAAAAATTGACCCAAAATAGTCTGTGTCATATTTGTTTTTAACTTTTTTAGCTTGTCTGTTTCAAAGAAACAGTTGAGAAAATTATGAATGCTGCGTTGTCATCGTTGCAATTTCCCAATAATTTCAACATTTTAAAAGGTACATATATAAAATACTTGCTTATCATTACAAAATTGCAATGTAAGACAAAGGGCATTATCATAAAAAATATTTTTTCAAAAATTATGTCTCTTTTTGACTTACAATTTTTGTTAAAATTGGTTATTGGTTGGCGTTGACCGTAACAGACGAGCATTGGCACTGCAGTCAATGCTCTTGTTTTTTGTCTTGACAGTGTTCGATGGAAATGAGTGAAGTGATCTGTTATATTCAGATGTCAATTTATTTTCTATATACATGTTTATTACAGGCTTTCTTATGATTTTTTTTTGTTTTTGTTAAAAATTTGTGAAAGAAAAAAGCTGTTATTTTGTGTAATATTGGTTTATATACTTGTACATGTATATTTATTAGTATTGTATAACTATAATTATAAAATAATCCTGGTTTAAAACCAGAGAGATATTATTTTATCTGACGCTGCATGTTATCAAGCCAGTGATCCTACCCTTATATTTGAATTAAGTTTATGATACATGTAAATATGTGCTGAACATTTTCATGAAGAATGTTATAAAGTTCAAAAGAGTGGTTATTTTTGATGTTTTTTTTTAAGATTATTATCTTTGCTAATGCAGATATAACATATTCAGAATTTTGATCAACAGAATTATTTTGCTGATATTTCTTAAAGTTTGATGTACGTTTTTCACTTTTGCTTTGGAAATTTTGAATATTTTAACGTACATAACAAATGGTATTACTAGAAAGTAGTTTTTTTTGCTTGTACAAACGTTGTTAATTGATTAACAAACAATACAGATATTTTTATTTTTATAAAGTCGAGCTTTTAAAATGGGATTATACCAGCAACAATGCCCAATATGAAGACAGCTGTTTGGAGAATAGGTGAAAACGCTGTTCCCAAATACCGAGCAGCAAACAGAATTCTGGATAACATAACGGCTGTCCGGCAGCTGAATCGATCCACGACAAAGCTTGACAACAGTGCTGCAATATATTAGCCATTTGTCAATGAGTTATAAATGAGTTCTTAAAAATATAAATTAAATCTTATACAAAACATGAGTGTATGTTTTTATATAATCAAAATATATTTAGAGTTATATTCAAGAGTGTACGGTTGTATCTGCTTGCAGACTAATGACTAATATTGAATGGCCGAAACAATGTCATTCACATAAAGTTATACCTCCTACAGACATGAATGCTGTGTGTATTGAGCCTGCCCAAGCAGTTAGCGAAACACTTTCGTTGTATCTTTTCAGCAGGACAGCATACATTATTCCCACACCATACATATTTGCACCAATGAGACAAAATGTCCCAAAACTTGCCAGCATTATAATCCAAGACCATCCCTTATCCAGTGATTTGAAATCTTGTAAACTAATTGGGGGTTGTTTTAAAGAGTTTTCCTTCGTCTTTGAGAATCCATTTGCCTTTGTTGGTGTCATCTGCAGTCCATAGAAAATAAATGTTGAATAAGTATTCTTCGAATGATAATAAGAGATTATTTTTTGTTCACCAACTATTCTATAATAATTTCGAAAATTTTATTAAAACCTTATACGAGGGTTGTCCACAGTTGTTAAACTGGGCTGTTGCATTGACGGGGGTATTAGATCCCGGCACAACTATTTCTGCTTCTGTCCTCAAATAAAGTATTGCCTTCAGTTTTATGTTGTTTAAGCTTAATGCTTTTTTATATGTTTAATATTCAGTAATTTAATTGAAAAGGTGGTCTTTTGCATTTTACGATTTTTATCGTTTTCTTTCATCTTGAAGTAACTTACATAACAAACAAAAATTACGTGGACTTTTGTTATAACTTATTAATTTAATTACTGTTTAACAATTCTTTTGTATGGTATTGAATGGTCTCTTGTCACACACCAAGTCTTACATCGACTCCTTATTAGAATGCATTTGATAACTTTGCTACACAATTGTGTTATTCTTTGTTAACACTTATGTGTATCCAATGACGCAATTTATCATAAAGAAAAACAAATCGTTTTTGTAAAGTTACTTATAAAATTAAAATTAACCCATTACCTAAAATATCAGTTTTATACATAACTTTAATACACATGTAAATTATAAATGAAAATCATGAAATAAAAATTAAGTATAAAATTGATAATATGGTATCAATTGTATGGTTAAAACCACGATTCTTAAACGGATTACGTTGTATTGGGAGTAAGTTATGTGTTATTAAAATTTTTTAACAAACTTACGTAAAAATAACCTTGATATACTTATTAAACCAATCTTCTTTTCAAGATCAACGATGAAACATCATTTCCGCAGCACTGATTAAAAGTCCCACTTAACTTTAAATTACTTTACTTCCTTTTCTGTGACGTAAGCAACAATAATAGCATTATACTACATATTGTAGTGTACTATAACACATCTATGAATTTATAGAAGATACGGGCAATTTGTAAATGGTGTCACCCCGGTTCGGAATTAGACCCTTAGATGTAGTTCTTCTGAATTTTGAAATGACCCATTTTAAGCTATCCCCGGCAAGATTGTTTATATTTCATGTTTATTTTTTGTAATTGTGTACATAATGTGCCACTTCTGAGTACTTTAAAGATTGTTTTGCTGTATCTTTTTAGAACTTCATTTATCTTTTAACATGTAGTTTAATTTTAACTATTAAGTAAATAAATATTTTACTCATATTGTAATTTTATAGTAGTTAATACTATATTAGAACATTTAAAAACACGGTAGAGTTGTAAAACAGTCAAGGCAAATGCTCTTGTTAGAATGTTTCAGATCGTGCTAAGAAAGGCCATTACCAGTAATTCAAGGAGAAAATCAGCTTATAAAGTGTTTGATAAAATGTACAAAATGATATAAATCAGATAATATTGTAACAGAGCCAGGGCATATACATGTCAATATCTATGACCCATGACACATATACAGGCCCAATATCAGTCGGTTTTAGATCATACTGAGAAAAATTACCGGAAAAAGGCTGAAAATTCAGGAGAAAATTCAAATTTATTGAGCCATATTTCTTGTCATATTATTAAACAAACATAATGTTTTTTTCTTATTTTGTAATTTAATATAAGATACAATAATTATATAACATTCAAACAATCAGCAGGTTAGTATTTCTACGGTTACCAGTATAAAGCATGTTGCGATGACACATGAATATATGAATATGTTTTGCCTTTAAATAAATACTCATAATGAAGTAATGTCTTCGGGGTTATTCTCGATCACTTGAGGTACACCTTCATTAGATTCTGGGACCACGTTTTCAATTCTTGTTACATCCTCATCTTTATAAGGAGCATTGAAACAGACAGTCAGTGCGCTTAATAATGCTGCCAGAAAAATAGAAATCCCTGAAAATATAATCATTAAAACTCCTGTTAAAGGTGGCATAGGATTCAAATGAATTTTGTACTTTTATGAAAATTTTGTAGAACTTTTAACATTTTGTGGTACATAATATTGCAAAATTTGTTCGCGCCCACATAGAATATTATGTTTGAAGTAGATTTGAATTAAGGAAACAAGTTTTGTATTCAATGTTTTATTCATATCTGAAAGAAGAAACGCAATGTAAGTACCTGCAAGTGTTATAGATTGCTCGTATGTGCCTCCATTGTCAACTAGTATACCTGAAAGGAAATATAGTTAAAGTTTAAGGAAATGGAAATAATTAAGTATAATCTACATGTACATATTTCATTATAAAGTCATGTATTAATTTATGTTAGAAAATGATTTTATCACCTGCAAATACTGGCCCGGAAACAGCACCAATTCCACCAAAGAACAATTCGACACCAATAGCTGCAGGCACAAAATTTATACCAACAAAATGGATATTTACTGATGACATAAGTACATAACAAATTCCGAAAAACAAACCAAAAATTATTGAATATATGATATGCCCAGCTAGTATAGACGAAATATGAGGATACACTATAGTACCTACTGCAACGATTCCTAATGATCCTGAATATAGCCATATATCTTTTATAATATTTAAATTGGCAACAAATCCGGTTATCAGACGACCCACGACGGCTAATATACCTGCAAGTGAGACCACAAATGACGCTTGTATTTGTGTGAATTCCTTTGAAACAACATATATAGGTAAATGTAAATATATAATGTGTGACCCGAAACAGTTCAAAAACATCCCAACGCTCAGGAAAAATACTGGTTTATTTAGCAAAGCTTTAAAGTAAAGTTTAGAGACATTCGTTGGCTTAGTCTGAGTTTCATGGCATTCATTTTTACAAACACTTCGCATTTCTTGTGTATGAAGTTCTAGTTTACTTGGGAAAAATGTTGCCCCAAATGTTATAATATTCAAAGCCATCGCGGCTTGTATTATAAAGAATCCAGTTGAGCCATAGTAATCACGTGCAAGTTGCATCAACGGCGCAAGCGCAAAGAGACCAGCTCCCATTCCAGAAAGTACAAAACCCAAAGCCAGGTGTCGTTTTCTTTTGAAATTAAATCCAATTACAACCATACTAGAAGTATAACCGACACCAGCTCCGCAACCTGAAAAATAATGAACAAACAATTTACCGGTGCCCATATTTTTAGCCTTTTGAAATATGTTTAGCTAATACTTTGAACGTGTAAAATACGAATCAACATATTTGCAAGTTTCCATTTTTAGCGAAAGGGTTCAAAATCCCTTGTTAACATAATAATTAATCATACCTGCGACGAAACCCAGTGTGAAGATAGCCGTTTGAACATTTGGTGCAAACGCTGTACCTAAATACCCAGCTGTAAACAGCATTCCTGATAACATGACGGCTGTCCGGCAGCTGAATCTGTCGACAACAAAACTTGACAACGGTGCTGTAACAACGGGAAAAAAAGAAGAAAAAAGGTCTTAAAATAAATATTTCCATCCGTGATTTTCATCATCATGTTACACAAACTAACGATTTAACTATTGGCAATGTGTATGATAAGAAAATTTACTGTTTTATAGTTAAACACAAAATATAACTGCTACAGCTAAAATAAAGTAAAATAAATTACAAGTAAAGTAGTAACAATAATAAGGAAATGGATACCGTTGTTCGATATTCGACTTATAAACAATCATATATAGAGGATATGTGTTTGTTTGTGTGTAAGATAAAATTTTATTTCATCGAGTGTTCACTTTTTATTTCATGCTTTAAAATAAGTTAAAACGAAATTTCCTTAACATGAACGTTAATATTAAAATTTGTTTCCCCATTGAGAACCTCATTTAGTCGAATTTCTCATTACAAGAAGTCTTGGGCTGAAAAATAAGTTCGACAAACAAGGTTAAATAGCGGTGATATTATTCATTTTATTACATCGCTTGTTTTAATAACAAAAACAAACAAGTTCTAGTAGAAGAAAAAGTCACATTATCCATCCATATTTCTGTTACTTATTGCAAATTAATATTAGACCACAGGAGCTTGAAATTCTATCAATAATCGCTCAAATGACCGATTTTTTTATTTAAAAAATCCATACCTATATATAAAAAAACTATATAGGTATGGATTTTTTTTAATTGGGCTTTTGAGCGATTATTGATAGAATTCCAAGCTCCTGTGATTAGACCTGGCACTGTGAAATGTTAACGGTCGCCATTTTTAAAAGTTGTGTATTTCACAGGAGGAAAATAATTGTGTTTGATTCAGAGGGATATCATTTGGATTTGTAAGTCATACACCTTTTTAAAAGAAAGAAAACTTATTTGAGGAATGTAACAGACAATAAATAAGTGTTGACAGATGTGTAAAAACATTCAAAAAGCAGCTAGGAAATTGGAAAACAAAAAGCTAGGAATTGTTGAAAAGCTGCCTTACGAACGACGGGTTGTTTACTTATTCTTCAGGCTGATGGCTTTCATTGCTTTTCAAGTTTTTATAAAGCATACGGCAGTTATTGCTCGTAGGATACTTAAATAAGCCGAAATATCTTCAAAAGCAGTTTTGCATGTGGAAGGAATGTATTTTCAGACTGTAAAATAGAAAAGAAAATCAAAAGGCGATGTTTGGTGATTGGTAATTTGAATGAATAGAAGTAAGTTTTCTTCTTTTTATTACTTTTGATATTTAATTTATTTATCAATTTCCTACACGGGGAAAAACTTAAAAAAGTAGTTTCGTCATTGAAAAGTGTGAAATTATATTTTGTTAATTTTCACTGTGAATTATCAAATATATTTTTCACGCATAAATCAGTAATCCACTGAAAAGCATAAAATAAACTGATATATTATCATTTGAATATACTTACGTAAATAATAAGAAAATAAAGTTACCTCCGAGAGACATGAACGCTGTCTGAAGTGAACCGGCCCAAGCTGTAAGGAATACGCTTTCCCTGTATCTTTCCAGAAGGACCGCGTGCATTATACCTACGCCATACATGTTCACGCCAATTAAGAAAAATGCACCGAAGCTTGTTAACATTATCATCCAAGACCACCCAGTATCCAACGATTTATACAATACAGATTCACTACTATAACACTGTTTTTTCGCATTTTCACAATGTGTCGTCTGCTTCATTATATTTCCGCTCCGTATATCAATAACCTTGAGAAGCATATACAAGACTCACATGAAAAACAAAGAATTCTATATATATATATATATATATATTATATATATATATATATATATATATATATATATATATATATATATATATATATATATATATATATATATATATATATATATATATATATATATATATATATATATATATATATATATATATCCAGTGAGTCATGAAGATAATACTAAAACGTAACGCGAACACTTTCCAAATCTTTTAACCAATATAAGAACTTGTACAATTCAATAAATCCCTGTTTTGTTTTAACTACAGAATAATCTTTTGAATCAATAAAAGTCAATTGTTACGAATTAACATGATACACATCAAGGAAAT